TTTGGCTTGCCGCAACACACACACACACACACACACACAGGTCGAGAGCTCGAGGTGTTCGTAATCAACCGCGCGTTGCTGTCCTATTGCAAAGCGCTGCACCTGGGCAAGGCGACGGCCATCTTCAACCTTATGCACCCTCACCCCACCAGGCTCTCCTACAGCACACACACCGAGGTACCACCCTAACACACGACACGACCAACGACACCACTCCAGACCGGCCCCACTCTATGCGTGCAGTGTTGTGCGCGAGACCTCGACTCATCATCCCCTCTTTTTTCCTTCAGGGCCTCCCCGAGCCGCTATGCGAGCCAGACGATGACACCTATGTGATCTACATGAATCTGTTGGAGAAGATCGCCGACTTGTCGTATGGCCTCCCACACCTTCTTCTTCTTCTTCGAAACCAAAGCGTTTTTATGACGTTAATGAGGGTGGGCGGCAATGCAGGAGGAAAGGGCAAGTGAACTACATCAAGGAGCCGATCCCCTCGCAGGAGGAGGTGCTGGAGCTGGCGAAGCAGGCCTACGGCATGGCGCTGCAGACCATGATGATCCCGCCGTACGATGTCTTCGCCCGCATGCTCAGCCTCTACGTCGGCGCAAAGCAGATCGGCCGAGCCGACGTTGTCTTCTCGCAAATGAAGGAGGCCGGACACGACCCCCGGCCCGAGCACTACCGACAGCTCATCGAGGTACCACCCACGCACGAAACACGACACCAAACAAGACACCTCGCCTTGGACTGACACGCACAACACTTGCGGTATCGCGACAGGGATTCCGTTCGGTTGGGAATCAGAGCGCAGCGCAAAACCTGCAGCGCGAGATGCAACGGAGGCACAGTGAATAGAACAACAACAACCACAACAAAGAGTAACCCGCATCTTGTCATCCACAAGCATCTCGCGCGAAGTGACCAAAACACCACTCTGTTTAACTCCGTAATTGCTCCGCGGCCACAAGTGGCGGAAAACATTTTGTTGCACCGCGAGACTGGCGAGGAGAGAGATGGGAGTGCAGAGGGCAGTTGTGGCGCTGGTGCTGGTGGTTTGCTTGGTCGGCTGGGCGCAGGGCCGTGTGGTTGAGGACAACTTCAACCAGCAGCAAACCCCCCTCGAATTTATGGCCAAGTTCTGCTATTCCGATGCCGGTTTGCCTCCCTCTTTTGCCTTCCACCTCTCAGATTTCTGATTAAATTACATTTGTGCAGCCATTATCGTTTGTTTGAGATTTTGTTTTTTTAAAAAAACATCATTCTTCATCCTTATGATCCTAGGAGAACAAGCGTACGCTGGTTCCACAGCGTTTATTTCGTCAATATTATTTATGTAACATAATTATTGTTTCTTATTACTTTTCGTTCCCTTTTTCTCCGCTGAACGATCGCCTGGCGTTTGCCCTGTGCGCGTGTGAGCAGGCAAGGGGCTGATGCGATTCACGCCGGGCAACATCAAGAACGAGACCGACCTCATGCTCCTCACATTCGATGACACCGTGTGGGATGAGGTCTACGACAAGGGCCTCTCCTGCGAGAAGGTAAACGCAACGCAACGCAACGCAACGCAACGCAACGCAACGCGGCATGCTGATTTGGAAATGTTTTGTTGGCTGGTGATGCGTTCAGGTTCGACAAATTGCACAGAACAGTGGCCGGGCGGCAGGTGTGCAGCCGATCATGGCCAACCACCTCCTCCTGACGCACTTCTCCGACAAGACACGCCCCAGGTGCGCGCTCAGCCTCGGCCACAACGTCTCCTGTGGGGAGTGCTTACATGTGACTCACCAACGGCGGTTGATGCCGCACAACACCGCGTTTATCCAACAGGTACTGGTACTTTGCCGTCTCGCGGTGCGAGAAGGGTCCCATCGACTTCAAGTACACGCTCGAGATGCTCAACCACGGTTCGTTGATTATGAATTATTTGGTATTTATTATTATTTATGTGTTTATTTATTTACATGTTTTTTGAATATACAGGTGACTACTGGCAAGAGCAGTTCTCGTATGAAGACCAGGGTAATCCTCAATCTTGAATGCTCGCCACCGCTTGAATCAGTGTTAGTGAAGCTAACGATCCCGTCGGTGGTGCATCTCAATCCAGGCCTTGCTGTATTGTACCTGTGCTACTTCCTATTCTACTTCATCGTGGGCGCGCTTGTCGTCGCTCTCCTCTCGCTCAAGTGGCGCAATGGCACCTTTGGCACTGTCACCCAGGTATATTCATTAATTAATTTTATTATTATTATTATTATTATTGATGTTTCTTGCCTCAGTGCCACTCGGTTTGATCATACCCACTTACTGACTTCGGCCCGTGAACGATCTTGTGGGATACCAGCTGTTCCAACTGTGGGTCGGTGTCATCCTGCTCGAGATGTGCAGCAAGTTCTTCATGTTCATCCACGAGGCCATCTACGCAGATGACGGCATCGGTGCTACGGGTGTGCTCGGCTTCGGCGACGGTACCACCGCCACCTCGCTCAATGCCATTGCTGCAATGAACTGCGGGGTTCGTGCCGACAGTAGGTCGGGCCACTCACACTCGCACGACGCGCAGTGCTGGAGATGTGCGGCCGAGTGCTGTTCGTGGGGCTCCTGATGCTGATGGCGAAGGGCTACACCCTGACAACCAACTACATCCACAACAAGGTGCTCCTGATCTGCATCTTCTGCGTGTGGTCGCTCTCCTACGTGGCCTTCTACATCTGGGAGAACATTGAGGACGAGGACATCTCCACCAACACCACCTTTGAGAGCGCGCCCGGCATCATCAACCTCGTCCTCCGCGGTACGCACTAAGCGATTGCTGAGAGCCGAGCTCGTTCAATGACACTAATGGCATACGTTCGGTGAACAGGTTTGATTTGGATGTACTTCGTGTTCAGCGTCTACCAGGACATTCAACGAACAGACAGCATCAGTACGTGCCCACCGGCTGCTGGGTTCGCGCGCGTGGCTATGGCGTAAATACTTAGGGGGCAATCGTTACTCGAACAGGCCCGGAAGACCAGGAGCGTGCTCGGCGGTCTGGCGAGGTGCTCCACGGGTACTCCAAGGAGATGAAGATCCGCTTCCACATCCCCTTCGCCGTTCTGGCTACCATCTGGTTCTTCATGCTGCCGCTCATGGTCATTGTCAGGTCCAAACTCTTCAATCCACTGCCCCCACGCTTTTTTTTATCGGCTGACATGATTGTGCTGGTTGTCGTGCACGTTTCTCGCACGTTTGCAGCCAGGGTTACGCCTCCTACTACCGTTACAAGACCATCATGGGCGTGTGCTACACGCTCAACTTCCTGATTGAACTGCTCGTTGGCGCCTGGTACGCCTTCCCGTCGTGTTTCCAGGTCGTAGCCACTTTTGCTTTACTATTAATTATTTTGCTAATTCCTCTCTGGATTGTTTTATTCGTGATTGGCAGGCTGTACCTGCCCAGGGATGGGCTCGAGCTGATCAACGGCCGAGGCATCTTCTTCGGCCTGCTGCCCAGCCGATTCGAGCAGGAGCACGCCAAGCTGTTCGGCGCGCCACCCAGCGAGGGCACCTTCAGCGGCCAACAGGAACTCCAGTACCTCAACAAGAGCGCTGCCCAGGACAACGCCCGCGCCTTCTCCAGCCCCTACGACTCTCTCTGATACGAGCGTACCCTTGCTCTTACATTCTGTCGACACTACTGGCCGAGCGGAGTCGTTTCTTGACAATTTCCCAGTTCGGCTTCTCTGCCGGTATATTTTTGTCGACGAGCGCTGGCTTTTATTTTTGTTTTTGCCTGCGTCAGCCAAACCCAACCCGACCTTCCGTAACCCCAGTGCCAGTCTCTCGACCTGATCACGTGTACACGTGTAGACGCCACACATCCCTTTGATCCACACAAACGTCAAATCAAAAGATGGAGGGACAAATCGAGAAATCGACAGAGCAGACCGCGCAGCAGCCGGAGCAGAAGCCCCAGCAGCAGCCGAAGGCCAAGAAGCAGCCCGCCCCGAAGAAGCAGCCTGCCCCGAAGAAGGCCGCGCCCGCTGCTGGCGAGAAGGTACCTGGCCACGTACGGTTGCATTTGTTTAATTCCCGCTCACGCCACGATCTAATTTTTGTCTTAATTCTGATTATTCAGAAAGCCAAGAAGGATGAAATCCGTCTGAAGAAGGAATTCCACAACACTACCCCGAAGGGTGAGAAGAAGGGTGCGTACAGTGAAATCGCGATAAAATTGGCTCTGAACAACAAAATCTGACTCAGATCGATCGTTTTACAGATATGTCACAGCCCATGCTGAATGAGTACGATCCGCCGGCCGTCGAGGCCGCGTGGTACGACTGGTGGGCCGCACAGGGCTTCTTCCGCGCTGATGAGAACGATCAGACCAAGGAGAAGTTCGTCATCGTCATCCCGCCGCCGAACGTCACCGGCAGCTTGCACATGGGCCATGCCCTTACCAACTCCATTCAGGACTCTCTGTGCAGATGGTACGTCAAAACCGCTCTGGTGACGCTCAGCGGAGTTAGGCCCACTGAATCCGATTTGAAAAACTAATCACTTGCCGCCCAATGCAGGCACCGCATGAGCGGTAAGAACGTCCTGTGGGTTCCGGGCACAGATCATGCCGGTATTGCCACGCAGGTCGTTGTCGAGAAGAAGCTGAAGAAGGAGCGCGATCTTTCGCGTCACGATCTCGGCCGCGAGAAGTTCATCGAGGAGGTTTGGCGGTGGAAGAACGATTATGGTGCTCAGATCTGCAATCAGCTTCGGCGATTGGGATCTTCCCTCGATTGGTCCCGCGAGGTTTTCACCATGGATGAGGTACTGCCAATCCGCTTCAGCAAATGCAGAGAAAATGTAACTTTTGTATTCACACGCCACTCCCTACTCAGAAACTGTCCGTTGCGGTCGTCGAAGCGTTCGTTCGCATGTACGAAAACGGTCTCATCTACCGTGGCACTCGCCTGGTCAACTGGTGTACCGAGCTCAAGACCGCCATTTCCGACGTCGAGGTCGAGCACAAGGACCTCAAGGGCCGCCACAAGATGAAGGTCCCCGGCTACGGCAAACAGGAGGTCGAGTTCGGTGTCCTCACTTCGTTCGCGTACCCCATCGAGAACTCGGAGGAGCAGATCGTCGTCTCCACCACCCGTATCGAGACCATGCTCGGAGATACCGCCATCGCCGTTCACCCGGATGACGAGCGCTACAAGCATCTCCACGGCAAGTTTGCGGTCCACCCTTTCAACGGCCGACGGATTCCCATCATCACCGACTCGATCCTCGTCGACAAGGAGGTCGGAACTGGTACGATTCTGGACCTGCTCTGGCACGCGCGCAAAGCACTCCAAATTTCTTAAAAGGTCACGTCGATGATGAACACACCCGAGCCCTAACGCAGTAATGCTGGGACACAATTCAGAACATCTAAGGGTCTGACACACACACCTCTGCGCTTATTATGTGCACAATATTTTGTGATCTTGCTTGGCCATCTGTGGACTTACCCTCTCGCCCTTATGTGTACAGGTGCTGTTAAGATCACACCCGCTCACGATCCCAAGGATTACGAGTGCGGTAAGAGGCACAGCCTGGAGATGATCAACATCTTCACCGATGACGGCCTCATCAACGAGGAGGGCGGTGCTCCCTTCACGGGCATGAAGCGCTTCGACGCTCGCGTTGCCGTCACGCAGGCGCTAGAGGAGAAGGGTCTGATCAGGGAGAGCCAGGACAACCCCATGATCATCCCCATCTGCTCGCGTACCAAGGACGTCATCGAGCCTCGCCTCAAGCCCCAGTGGTGGGTCCGATGCAAGGGCATGGCCGACGAGGCCGTCAAGGTACTCACTTCTTGACTTCTCCCTCATTCGGTAGAATTTACTCAGCGTTGTTGTATGTGATGAACACACCCGAGCCCTAACGCAGTAATGCTGGGACACAATTCAGAACATCTAAGGGTCTGACTATACATTTATTTTTTGTATAGAAAACAACACGCTCACGCACAGAAGCATCTTTTCTAGGCCTGGCTCAATCCTTAACTGACCATCAATTTTTCTTTACTCGCTGCACAGGCGGTTAGGGAGAAGCGCCTGGAGATCGTTCCCTCGATGCACGAGGCTGTCTGGTACAGATGGCTGGAGAACATCCAGGATTGGTGCATTTCTCGCCAGCTCTGGTGGGGCCACCGCATCCCTGCCTACCTCGTCCACATCGACGGACAGCCCACCCCTGATGTACGTCTTCCCCTTACGGAGTGGGCTTGATCCATTCGACTGACGTAATCCGTTTCACATCATGCAGCCAGAGGATCAGAACAACTGGGTTGTTGGTCGTTCGTATGACGACGCCTTCGCGAAGGCCAAGGCCAAGCACGCCGACGTCGCGCCGGAGAAGATCAAGCTCGAGCAGGACCCCGACGTCCTCGACACGTGGTTCTCTGCGGGCCTGTTCCCGTTCTCAGTCATGGGCTGGCCCAACGAAACTGCCGACCTCAAGGCCTTCTACCCCACTTCTCTCCTCGAGACGGGCCACGACATCCTGTTCTTCTGGGTCGCCCGCATGGTCATGATGGGCCTCAACCTCACCGGCCAGCTGCCCTTCTCGCAGGTACCTCCTTCATCGCCCCCTCCCTCCCTCACCGCAATCCCACACAATCCTCCGCTTCATATGATGTCAAAAACAAGGTCCGACGACTGAGGCGGCTTTAAATGGCTTTAATTTAAAGACTCGCTCCTGAGAGATCCTTTCTACGCCTCTGATGAAGCTTCACTGTTCTTTCATCACCACGACACTTACCCTGGGCGAACTCGCTTACTGACCACTGCTCTTTTACTCTGTCTAGGTCCTTCTGCACGCGATGGTCCGCGATGCTCACGGCAGGAAGATGTCCAAGTCGCTGGGCAACGTCGTTGATCCGATCGACGTCACGGAAGGCATCCGCCTGACGGATATGCACCAAAAGCTCCGCGAGGGTAACCTCGAGGCCTCCGAAGTCGAGAAGGCCATCAAGGGCCAGCAGAAGGACTTCCCGAACGGCATCAGCGAGTGCGGCACCGACGCCATGCGCTTCGCCCTCTGCGCCTACACCTCGCAGGGGCGCGACATCAACCTCGACATCAACCGCGTCGTCAGCTATCGTCACTTCTGCAACAAGCTCTGGAACGCCACCAAGTTCGCGCTCATGAACCTCGGCGCCGACTACGCGCCCCTCGCCTCGCCTGACGTCACCGGCCAGGAGAGCATCATGGAGAAGTGGATCCTCAGCCGCCTGCACTCAGCCGTCAAGGACGCCGACCAGGGATGGAAGTCGTTCGAGCTTGCCCAGTGCACCACCGCCATCTACAACTTCTGGCTCTACGAGCTGTGCGACGTCTACCTGGAGGCCATCAAGCCCGCCATGCGCAACAAGGGCAGCCCCGAGCAGAAGTCGGCTCAGCACACGCTCTACACGTGCCTCGACTATGGCCTCAAGCTGCTCCATCCGTTCATGCCCTTCGTCACTGAGGAGCTCTACCAGCGCATCCCCAGGCGCCCCGGCGACAACATCTGCAGCATCATGGTCTCCCCCTACCCCAAGCCGGTACTGCCTCCCACCTTTTTTTATCACCAAAGCCTTTTCATTCGCACACACATTATATATTCGTGGTTTCCATGTCGATGATGAACACACCCGAGCCCTAACGCAGTAATGCTGGGACACAATTCAGAACATCTAAGGGTCTGACACATGCAAATTTCCACTTCACATAAAGTTACACCAGTATTGGTTGATTTGGAATAATCCCGCTCACCGTTCTCTTGTTCTCTCTTCTTCTTATCTGCAGGCGTACACCCAGGCGTGGGCCAACGAGAAGCTGGAGGCCGACGTCAAGCTGGCACAGGACATCATCCGTGCCTCGCGCGCCCTGCGTGCCGACAACGGCCTTCCGCCGAGCTCGAAGCCTACCTTCTTCCTCGAGTTCCACTCGGACGAGCTGAGGAACACCTTCCGAGGCTTCGCGCCCATCATCCTCACCCTCTCTGGTGCTTCGGAGGTCAACGTCCTCGAGGGCGACGCCAAGCCGCCCAGCGGCTGCGCTGTAAATATTCTCAACGAGAACGTTGAAATCCACATCTTCCTCAAGGTACCCCCTCCCTCCTACCCCGCCACTTTATATTCATCACTCCACCTGCATCTTGTCGATGACGATAGTTTGAAAATGATAATAACTGATTATATCATACTTTTTTGTCACTACCACTGAGGCAACCTTCATTAGCTTCTCCTTCTTGAGCTCCACCACTCTCTCTTCGCCGACATGTCTAATCTTCCTATGCGTGCGCCACACAATACAGGGCTTGATCGACCCCGACGTCGAAGTCAAGAAGCTGGAGAAGAAGCTCGGCGAGTCGACCACGCAGCTCGAGACTCTCGAGAAGAAGATGAAGGCGCCCATGTACGAGGACAAGGTCCCCGCCGCCGTCAAGCAGTCCAACACCGAGCGCGTCGGCAAGCTGAACCAGGAGATCGAAGCCATCAAGCAGGCCATCGAGAAGTTCAAGGCCATGAAGGCCAACTAGAGTCCAGTCACCGCCCTCCGGAGCCACGAAGTTGCAGCTGCTTGCCGTCTCTTTGTGAGCGGACCACCACCAACCATCGTCGCCACCTCGTTCCCTCTCGATTCCTTTTGTGCAGCCCACCAGTTTGTTGGTGAAGATACCCTTGAATACACTTTATACATAGCAGCACCACCCACCCTTCTTGTTGTTGTTCGCGACCTTCTTGGTAAAATAAAAAGAAAGACAAAAAGAAAAAAGAAATCGGGTGCAACCTTGTTTTGTGGCAGGCAGAGATGGAAGAACGAGGGAGGAGCAAAGCGGCACTGGAGGGCCGAGATGCGGTCGATGCGGCGATGGCAGCGCTCATGAGGCTCCTCAAGCTGGCTTCGGCGCCGGTGCCTGCCTCTCGCCCGGGTTCCGCCGACACCAGCAGTGACATGGAAGCGGAAGGGGGCGCGTCAACTCAAGCAGAAATGGAGGGCGCTGCGTCGGCCTCCGCTGCTCGACATGCCGCCACCCTCCCACTACTCGCCGCTCTCGCCGTGGAGTCATCCTCTTCATCTTCAGCCGACATCTCGCCCGGCACCGCACACGAAGCACATCAGGACACGGTACGCGTAAATAACCAAATAATAGATAATAAATAAATAAATAACTTAGTCACAGCCTTTTTATTGTTTAATTCTATTTATCATTTTACTTATTCGTTGCTACGTCTTCAGCTGCGGGAGCTGGAGGAGCGACGAGAGGCCTTGCGTGTGGAAGTGGCCAAGCGACGCGCGGCCGTGGATGGCGTGGCCCGGCGCCTGTGGCAGCTGCACGCGCAGACCACCACCCTTCTCGCTTCCACTCCATCATCGCCCTCTTCCTAAACACCTCCATCATCTTTTTATGCCTATGTGCAACTCTCTACACGTTTCTTCATGTAGAGAGGATCAAGCCCTAGCTACTAGAAGCGAGGCGGTGTTGGTGTACTACTTACTCCTGGCGGCAGGACGGTGGCCTGGTTGTCGATGAGCTGCTTGTAGATGTTGCTCACGGTGGCGGCGGAGATGGAGGCCGCCTGGGCGATGTCCTGCGGCGATCTCGACTCGCCCTTCAGCTTGGAGGCCAGCAGGATGGCCCCCGCCGCGATCGACGACGGCCTCTTGCCCTCCAGCAACCCAGCAGCCCGGTCGGCGATCGCCATCGCCAGGCTCACCACCGCATGCGACAGCCTCAGCTTCGAACAGAACCGGTTCTGTGCGCATAGTGTTAGCTCACTGACGATGATGGTGATGATGGCGATGATGGTGATGATGATGGTAATGATGATGGTGACGCGTACGACGAGGTCTGAACCGGCTGTGGCGCTGCGGATCTGCTGCTCGGAGGCGGGGAGGGCCTTCTTGAGCATGTTGTAGTAGTGGCGGATGTCCTTGTCGGCGAGGTCGGTGTGCCCGGCCAGCTCTTTGAAGGTGCGCGGCACCTTGGCCTCCCTGCAGGCCATGTAGATGACCGCCGCCTCCAGTGCGTTCTTCTTGAACAGCATCTTCCGCCGCTTGGCCGCAAACGCCGAGTACATCTCCTTGGCGATCAGCTGATGTGCCCACCACAACATGTCGATGTTATGCATGAATGATCAAGCATCAGTGAGTGAGTCTACAACTACAAAACTGTACCCTGATCTTCTCGGGCAGAGCGATCAGGTCCGCGATGTGCGAGAGAGTGGCGTAGCCCGAGAGGACCTTGCGGTCATCTTTGTCGGTCTGGCTGCGGGCCTGCAGCCGGGCCAGCTGGGTGCCGCCGCTGCCAGGACGGCGGAGCGTGGTGGTCTGACTGACGGCAGACTGCGCGGGGGGACTGGTGGCGATGTTGCAGCCGAGGCCGCCCGAAGGCAGCGACTCATCAGCCCGACTGGCGCGACTCGGGTCGTCGCCTTCGTTGTCAGCGAAGTTGCGCCACTCGGAGCGCGTGTCTATGATGCGGTCGGGCACCACCAGACCGCACTGTAGGCAGATGGTGTCGCCCGATGCAAAGTCTACATGTGTGCCACACAGGAGAGAAGGAGGGGATCATCCGCGACAACTCCTCTACCTCTCACCCCTCCCCCCCAAACAATGAAGACACCAATGCAGGCGTGCACGCATCGCATGCAATGTACCCTCAATGAAGTCGCTGGTCCCGCAGTCGTGACACACGTCCTGAGCGAACCATTGGTCCCATCTGGGTTGGAAGTCTGTAGATGGGAGCGTCATCATCTCCATACCCGCTTCAACCGACACGTTCATCCAGTCCTTCTGACTGCTTGCCTACGCGCCACTTGGCAACCTTCTCTTCTCGCCTCAAACTTTCCGCCGACGCCAGGGGCTGGGTGTGATGCCTTGGCTGTGCGGCCTCTCCAGCTTTATGTCTGAGCTTGTCCGCTGCCGTTATGGGACCAGGCTGGTTTCACCGAAAATTGTGTTTTGATTTTTTTCCTCTCTTTGGCCGAACGTTCAGCCGTCCATCTCGTCTTCCTCTTCGTCGCTCCAGGCGTCTCCGTCGACATCCTGGGTGTGTGCTGCTGATGATGACTGTTGTCGTTCGTCGCCCTCGTCTGTGGCCTCATCCTCCACCAGCTCCGCCTCATCCATGCTCGGCACCCAACACAACAGTTGGTTGTCATTGCCTCCGCTGTACAATTCCTGTCGTGTATGGTGTGTGTGTGTTGAGTTGGCGCCTTTGTCGCACGAGTGCGCGCAGGGGAGGAGTACCTGGAGGTGCGGATGAAAGACGCAGCAGTTGACCTTGTCAAAGTGGCCGCGTAGCAGGCTGAGGGTGCGCCCGGTGTGGGCCTCGAGCGCGAGGATGTCCGACCCGTTGGGGTGGTAGAGCACCTGCCCGTCCGACGATATCGCCATCTGACTCCCCTTCTCCGCCGCATTCTTGACCCCTGCAAAATTGACCTACAGCCCCTCCCACACCGCACGCGTGAGTGCCGCACGCGCACGACACACGTTCATCACACACACGCACAAGAGGAGTGTACCAGCGTGTTTCTGCCGGTGTCGGCGTTCCACATGTGTATCTTGTTGTCCTTGCCGGAACTGTACAGGAAGAGACCGTCGGGGGACCAACACAGGGAAGTGACGGGCTCGTCGTGTGCCGTCACCGACGTCGGCGCGCCGCCCTTGGCGCTCACGTTTTCTGTTGTCACGCACACGCACACGCACACGTACGCGCACACGCAGCAATCAGTGTCTTGTGCAGAAACTTCATGCACAGCGCGCACGGCCGCGCGTACTGAGTCGCAGTGTTCGGTTGGTCTCCAAGGCCGTCTGACTGTTGTGTTGGTCGAGCGACAGCAGGCAGCCCGATCGCCGAATGTCCCACAGCCGAATCGTCTTGTCCACCGACGCGCTGGCCAGAAGGTACTCGTTGGTGGGCGACCACTGCACGGCCAGAATCGCCTCTCGGTGCCCTGTCCAATCAACCGTCAGTCCGTGTTGTGTGTCACGTGTGTCGTGTCGTGTCGTGTCGTGTCGTGTCGTGTCGTGTCGTGTCGTGTCAGGAGGTACCGAGGAGGCAATGCGTGCTGCCGCCGGTCATAGGGTCGCACAGGCGCACCTTTTGGTCGCCCGACCCAGCAGCCACGAGGGCGTGTCGCGTGGCGATGGGCGACAGTGATATGCTGTACACCGGCAACGGCATCTCGAACTGGCACACCACCTTCACAACACGACACACACGACACACACCACACACACACGACACACACCACACGGTTGAGGAGGAGCAGGTGGTTGATCGCTTGGGGGTGATGGAGAAAGGGTACCCGTTGCGCGTTGGTGTCCCACGCGTTGACCTTGTGGTCGAAGGAGCCCGAGAAAAACATGCCCGTGTCGTGCGTGTACCAGGCTATGCTCGACACGCCATGCGTGTGCCTGGGCCAGCGCGCAAGCCGTGCCCACTGTGAGCAACGTCTAGAGATGGGGGTGGCATTTTGAATGGTGGAGGTGGAACGTACCCACCTCGCTTGGCGAGGAAGAGGGGCGTTATAGCGGCACGTCGTCGTGGGTTGCCACCAAATTGGTGCAAATCGAACACCGAAATCGTTCCATCTCCAGCACCGGCCAGCAAGCTTTGTGATGCATCACGTTTCAAGTTCAGCTGGATTGAACCAGGGTCGTCTTTGTAGGCGGGCATGAGTGTGCACGTACTAGCGGGCTTCTACGAGGTCGATGGCGAGGGAGGTGAAGGCGGCATGATTTGCGCTGGTGATCTCACGCTTGCCGCTCAGGTCGAGGTCGTAGGCTCTCCGCGCGGCCTCTGCACGCGCCATCGCCTGAGGTGCCACCTCTCCCGTCTCCCTGCTTGCCAACCACCTCAACATCCCTTCGCCAACATCCAAATAAATAATGATGATTTCTTTTTATTTGTTTTTACCATTTTATTTAGACATATTTACACGCACAAGAAGAAGAGAGGCTGCGGCGTGCATCACGCCAAGGCCTCCTCGTGCACGTCGAGGGCGGTTCGCGGGAGGCTGTTCGCAGAGAAGAGCTCCTCCTCGAAGTTGAATAGCGCCACAAAGAAGCCTCGGTTGGGGTACACGAAGGGCCGCTTCTCACGCACCAGCAAGAGGGCCTCTCTCAGTTGCAGCTTCTCGTAGTGCATGATAAAGGCCTAGTGGAGAAGACGAGACAAGGAGGGATGAACGATATGAGCACGCGTCATAGCCGAACAAGCATGTGCGTGCGAACGTACGATCGCGATGGTGGCCGAACGAGACACGCCAGCGGCGCAGTGCACGAGGACACGACCGCCCAGTTGGTAAGCCGAAAGGATGAACTCGAAGGCGGCGTCGAACTGGCCGCGAATGTCAAACTCGCAATCTGCAGAGAGCCAAGTTGAGGTCGAAGTTGAATCGAAATGGAAGGAGATTCTTTCTGGATGTGGAAACAAATCGAAATTGAGAGCGAAATGGAACGTACGGTCGGCAATGCTTAGCCAGCGGTATACGATGCCCGAGCCCTGGAGCACGGTTTCATTGAGTCCCACCTCGTCGGCGACGTTGAGTATATGGGTGATCTGATTTTCCTGCAACCACAGCGGATCCTGCGCTGAGCAGGCGCTGCCCAAGAAGAGACGTCCGTCGATGGCCGACGCGCGTTCGCTGCCGTTGTAGGACGTGGGTGGGGTGAACAAGGCCGCTATGTGGGCCTCGAGCTTGAGCTCTTCCACAACGGTACGCCGTCTGGCCTCGATCTTGGCCTTGTAGTAGGTGTAGAAGGCTTCCCAATTGTTGAATCCATTCGGGCTCTGGCTTTTCGAGTTGGAGCCTCTGCGGGAAGTTGTCGAGCTTCGCCTTCGACGTCGAGGTGCTTGATTTGTAGAATGTGGCGGCGAGTCGGGAAGTTTTGGCACACGATCGATCTCGAACGCAAACTGTAGATTGCCGTCTTCTGGCGTGGCAGAGCATGTAGATGGAGCTTGTGAGATGGTGGTGGAACCTGCTGGCTGCGGCTGAGAAGCCCCCGAAGTCACGGGCGGTGACGAAGCTAGAAGGTGCTCCCTCATTCTCCCGCAATCCGAAAGAAGTGGAAACGAAGAGGATGGATTCAATCGTGGTCGCACTCGTCAAGGCGAAACAGTGAGAGGAGACCGAACTGACCGAAGAGGGAAGTTGGGGAACCACACGCACATCCTTCTACCTGGAACTGCTGTGTTGTGTGGGGAGGCACTGCTGCGATGCTCGAAGCAACAAATGGCACTTTATTCTTGTCATTCCACAGCCGAAGTTCGGCAGAATACCCACCAAGCACCAGGAGGGGGGGACAAAGTACCACACCGATCGCACTCATCGAGGTGGACAGTGATCCTGCGACCACGACAGGTGAGCACCCTCTTGCCGGTCGTGTTCTCTGTTCGTTTGGAATCCGCTAGCGACTTGTTCGTTCTTCTGTTCGTAGTACCTACCTGCTATTGAAATGAGGGGGTGAGGCTAACGAAACAGCCGTGCAGGTCAGAAACCTCCACACAGAAACGCACACGCCCAAGAGCAACGAAACGACACGAACCACGCCCACCACACTACACGCCCAACGACACGCGAAATGCCAATTTACACACACCCCAACGCAAGACGACCTACACGACACGACACAAAAGCAGAACACCACCACAAGACACAACGACAACATACGATCACAAGGATATGGTTCAGGTTGATTTAACTGCGCGCAAACGGAGGTAGCAGAGATGATTAGAAGTTAAGCATGACACGACTGGACACTACACATACACATTTAAAGTACGAACCACACAACACAACACGACACCACCATACGTATCTCGTACACCTGGCACGCCACACCACCATTGGCCCGGATTGGGTCAAAATTTTAATGAGGCGGCGTCCGCCTTCGTGTGTGTGCGCGTGCGCGAGTGCGTGTGCGTGTGCGTGTGCGAGAGCGGAAGAGAGCAAGAGACCAACGCGCGCGGGCGGCGCTGGTCTGGTCTGAGCTCAGAGGCCGTTGTCCATGAAGGTGGGCTCGCACTTGTCCGCGATGCGGGCGTTCTTGAGGTCCTCCATGCGCTGCTGGCGGTCGAGCTCCGGGTCGTAGGCCTTGTGGCGCCTCTCCACCCAGACCTCCCACATGCTCAGGTGGCGCGGGTGCACCGCCACCCCGTGGTAGTCCTTGCGGCGGCCCTCCATGACGTACTGCCAGTAGCGCTCCTGCTCGCGGAGGTCGAGGCCCGTCGTGTCGGGCACCAAGACCAGGGTCATGATCCAGCCGGCGAGGCCGAACCAGGTGACGACCCAGAACTTGGTGTGGTTATCGATGTAGTGGTACAGGATGGCCGGGGCGAGGGCGCCGAGCTTGCCGACGGCGGCCGAGACGCCGTGGGCGGTGCCGCGGATCGAGGCGGGGAAGACCTCGGCGGCGAGGAGGAAGGTGGTGGAGTTGGGGCCGAACTGGTTCCAGAAGGAGCTGAAGAAGTAGATGAACTGGAACCACTGGATGCCGGCGCCCTCCTCGGTGAGGTCGTTATAGAGGATGGCGGCGATGATGAAGAGGATGAAGTCGGCCGCGAAGCCGTTGGCCTGCATCCACTTACGTCCGTACATCTTGTGGTCCATGAGGATCGCCGCCATGTAGTAGCCGACCAGCGACACGCCAATGTTGAGCAGGTTGTAGAGCCACGAGACCATGAGCGTCGACTTGCCGCCCGTGATCACGCCGATGAAGACGCCCGCGAAGATCTTGTTGCCGTAGAAGAAGAAGTCGTTGCAGAACCACGTCCCGGCCGTGCCGAGCACGCGGTGCCAGTAGTGGCCCATCGACAGCTTGAGCGACTTGACGTCGTAGCCCGAGATGTTAAGCCGCTCCTTGCTGTCGCGCAGCACGTTATCCTCGGGGTACTGCATCTTGTAGTAGCGCAGGTAGGCCAGGTAGAGGGTCGACACCGCGATGAACCCGAACTGCAGGCGGAACACCCACTGCGCGGCGAAGGCACCGTAGGGTGGCTCGGGTCCGCTGAAGGCCAGCAGGAGGAGGATGAGCACCAGCTGGTTGATGATCTGGCCCCAGCCCTGCATGAGGAATGCGAGCGAGACGGAGCGGCCGCGGTGCATGCGGTCCTCGACGCCCGAGGTGGGGGCCTGGTCGGTGCCCTCCATGGCGCGGGTCGAGGTCATCGGGTACTCGCCGCCGACGCCGAGGCCGTAGATGAAGAGACTCCACGCGTAGCAGATGACCCAGCCGTTGAGGTCGAGGCCCCACATGGCGGTGAGCATGACAGAGCCGAGGGTCATGATGAGCGCGTTCTGGACCATGCCGAAGCGACGACCGATCCAGTCGCCCTCGATGCCCACCATGATCTGGCCGACCACGATGCCTATGATCATGAGGTAGTCCACGGCGTGGATCCAGCCCTCCTCGCACACCTCATGCTTCTTCCAGCACTGCGGCCACACGGCGCTGAAGAGCGGCACAAGGTTGCCCACCGAGAACAGGGTGAAGCCCTCGACGAACAGGCCCAGGCCGTTGAGCACGTAGGTACCGAAGTAGGACGCGACGGGGCTCAGCGGGTCCTTCTTGATCATCTTCCCGAGCACCTTGAGCTCGCGCCAGGCCTCGGAGTTGCTCTTGCGGTTGACCCAGGCCATCTTCTTCAAGTAGGGCAGGTCGGCCCAGTAGGTCTTGTCCTCCGTGTAGATGTCCGGCGGGAAAAGGACCTCCTCCAGCTCCGCTTCGCTGTGTCCGGCGGGGACG